TTCATTTACAATTTACAACGCACTCTCTTACCCTCTCTTTGCTGGCTCTCTTTGCTTTTACTCTGCTCGCGCTCTTACGCTCAATTATGTAGCAAATGTTTGTGCTTGTGATTTATTTGCGGTTAACCTACGGTTATTATTTTAATTAAATTGTATTTTTTGTCAGGTGCACATGAAAAAATTCAGAAATTTATAAACTTTTCATGTTACAGCTAAATTACAGCTGTTCAGCGTGATTTGTTTTGCCCCATTCCCTTGCTTTTTCTACCTCTTATTTTTACCTCCCACTCTCTCTCTCTTTTTTCTCTTTTGATCTTGTTTGCACTGGCTTAATTAGCAAATGACGCAGATTACTTGTGGGGATTTTCAATTGAACTTAGATTACCGCAATTAATCTGTGGCAATTGCATCCTTGCGTCTGTGTGCGTGCTCGTGTGACATTTAAAAAAAAAATATTGAAAATGGCAAACGATTCTATAAATGTATGATAACATTTTGACATTGCCGTCAAGTCAACATTTAGCACTGGGAAAAACATTTAAATGGAAAACGGATGTTTTTTTATGAGTCATCATCCTGTTTTGAGATGAGGCAATTTTATGATCCATAAGAAACCGAGGTTTATTTTTACGGACAAAAGTTTAACATGCATTTCCACTAAATTTCTAATTTTATTAGCGTGATTTTTATAAAGATAGTATTTTGTGAGGCATTTGCAATACCATGTTAATTTTTTTTAAGTTTTATTTTTCTGTAACCTGAAGTCTATTTAACCATATAAATTAAAGGGTATTTAAAATTCGGCTTTCCCTTTTTTTCGTGTGGGCAAAATATACAAAGAAGGTGCGACAAGACAAAAGGCAAAATGTTGGAGGAGGGGCGAGAAAGAGACAGAGAGCAATTGCAAGTGCATAACAACAACAACAACAACATAAGACATGAATGTTGGTGCAAAGGCAAATGAAAAGAGACACACGTGAATAATAATTGAAAAATGTAAACCGCATATGGCGGAAATAAGGAGAAGAGAGAGGGGTGGATAATGAACATATGGGTAAGGTAATGAACAAAGATTGAATGAAATGTATGAGCGGAGGAGGTGAAACCTGAAATGTGTGTGGAAAAGTAATAGAAATTTGAAAAAAACATATATGGAATATTTGGATTTTAATTATTATCATGGATAATTAAAGAAAATATGTAGGAAAATTTATAAAAAATTAAAAATAATTGAAATTATTTTCAGTAGAACCTAAGTACTATTATAGTAAAAAACTATATAACCAAATTTAATATAATAACTAAAGAAGTTTACAAAACTCAAGAAACTTGGGTCTAACTTACTATTAATTCCAGCCGCACGATAAAATCTACTACTGAAATATAAGCTGTATAAAAAGAAAACATCACTTTTATTGTAATTTTTTTTTTCTTTAGCATTAGACAAAAATCTGAATTTGATTACCCAGTTCAAGGAAGTGCCGGTTGTTTAGGTAGCTACACGCATATATCCAGAGAATCGATCGAATGGAAAACCCAATATCGGCAGAACCTTATCGCTGTCTGTCGCCGTCTGGCAATGAATCGATATTCCAAGAAACCCAGGAAAATAAACAGAAACAGCAGGCACGCAAGCAATACGCAGGGATATGGAAAAGGGAGGGAGTAATGTCACTGGAGGCGTGGCATATAGGGTTTCGACACCTTTGAGGTGAGAGAGGATGCACCCAAGTGCTATTCTTCACTCACTTCCTCACTTAATTGTTGTTACATTGAAAAAAAAGTGTTAATAAATAGATATAGATATTGGTTTTAAATAGTTATTACAAGTAGAATGCAAAAAAATTAAGTAAAACATTTTAATACCATAGTGATTCTCTTTGGATTGCATTTCCTCATGATTTTAAAATTTACGATTTTTATAATATTCCTCTAAAATTATGATTATTTTTGAGTATTAAATAAAAATCAAAAATAATCATTATTCCTGAGCAAAAAAAATAAAACTAATTTTGAAACCACGGCTTCCCTGTGCCGTTTTTTTTTTTAATAAACCTTTAAAAGGAACGCAAAGAAGTGTCCTGAAAAAATGGTTATATTGGCCTTCTGCATCCTTGCAGATGATATTTTTATTAAATATGTAAAATGTGTAGTTGTATTTAAAAAAAAAAGAGTTTACATTTAGTGCAAATATTTTTCCCCAGTGCACTAGAAATGGCATTAATGCTAATGAAGAGCAAAATTTGTAAATGAGACAGGGTGGTCAGGAAAGTGGATAGTGTGGCACTTGCAGCAGTCGCAAACATTAAACCTGCACCCTCTCTTTCGGTCAATCTATATCCATCTCTCTCCGTGCTACTCATCAATTTTCTGGGCACGTTCTCAAAATGTTTTTGGCGACTCGAGATGGAGCCACAAGGAGAATAGGGGGGTTATAACCACGAATGCCAATTTTGGCAAAAACAAGTGACAAACACCAAAAACAGGACACAAGATGGACGGAATGGCAAAAACAAGATTACTGGCTGTTTCAGGGGAGGGGAATGGGGAGGGGGTTTGTAAAGGGGCAAAAGGCCATCGCACTATTTATGTGTGAGTGTGTGTAGAAATTTTTCGGGCCAATAAGTCACACACCAATAAAAGCAAACAAACCAACCAACAGGCAAACGAACAAATAAACAAACAGTGAAAGAGACAAACACTGCCATCGAAATTGGCAACAGCCGGATGCTTTTGTTGGCTACCATCGATGGCAAAGATCATCGTGACCAGAAGCAGAAGTTGTATCAAAAACTGGCCCAGAACCCAGGCCCAAACCAGACGCGCTTTCAGAGATGAGCTCATGAAAATGGCATTGTAACTCTTTGAGGAAATGGAGGAAAACAAGTCAAACTTAACCAGAGGTTAATGTAATAATAATGATAATTTTCTGTAATCTCTGGTTATCCTAAAATTTTATCTTTGTGTACCAAAAAATTCTAAAGCCAAAATTTAATTATAGATAAGTTTTTAAACATCAGTTAATGATTCTTCAAGTTAGTAAGATTAGCCTTAAACCTTAGGCTTAAAAGGAAAATAGTCTCCTCTGATATTTTTCATCTTCAATCAGTTAAGTTTTATAAATCTATTTAAAAATTTTAAGTCTTTATCAGTATAATAAAAACAATATTGTTTAATTTTAAAGAAAACGACTTTATTATTATCGGAGTGGAAACATCTTTTGATTTATAATTTCCTGATGGCTTGTTGGCTACTTCATCATGGAATTGCATTATCAACCAATAAACCATAATTTGAATAATTACTCTAGATAACAACAATATGCCGATAAATAATTCCACTGAAAGCATGCAATCAATTTGTATTATATGCATTAAGCCTTCAATGGGAAACAAATTTTGATATTAAAATGGTCTTTAAGTAAAGAACTTTTTTTTAGCACTGGTATCTTACATTCAATTTCCAAGAGACTGTTATAATTGTTCAGTTCTAGTTTTAAAATGGGATCTGTTTAAAAAATAACTTAAATTCAATTGATCAATTAATTTAAGGTGCTTTGAGAAGTGGTTAGTAATGAGTTTCCAGTCAATACATTTAAATTAAACTGCTCAATTAAACTCAAAAGTGTTTTGAAAAGTAGATACTTCTCTTCCAAGCACTAAATGATTTCATTTGGGAGGTGATTAAACAAAAGCATGAGCAAAGAAAGGAATTCATGGGAAATTGAATCATCGCTATATCTGCGAAGCGCATTCTCTAGATGAACGTACTATATCTGTTTCTCTGGCGGCACACATCTCATCTCTCATCGCTAATGGATATCGACTGACTACTACTGACTGACAACATCGATGCGAGTTGGACCCGATGACCAATTTCAGATTTGCAGCCTTATTTGACCAGACCGCAACGGCCTCAGCCTAGCAGCCCCCCATCTATATATCTATTTCAGATTTAAGAGTGCCGATGTCTGTGCGTTTAGTTTGCTGCCATATTTATGCGTTCGCAATGCAGACGTTTTTAATGTCTTTTCTACAACAGAACAGAGCAGAGAAGTCTGGAGCCAGAACAGCTCACATTGAACGAGCCATGAAGGCTTTTCCTCTTCATTATCTGCAGCCACAAATTGCATCCAGTGCAATGCCTTGGAGATTTCATGGCTGTCTCCCAGTGCATACATGTATCTACGTATCTCTGGGTTGCCGAATTTTGCATAATAAGTGCAACAGCAACATGGACAACCGCAAAACCGCAAAAACAACTTAAGTGAACGAGAAATCGAGCCGAGGAAAAGCCCTCAAGGTGGGAAAATTGGGTGAAGGCAGCTCGGAATCGGGTTCCTGATTGAATCTGCCCAGATTTAATTGGGAACTTACTAGCAGAAGTGGCTGACAATTATGCTCCTGAAAAGGGTCAATTGAAGTTACAATTTCTAAACAAGTTTACTCAACTACAAAGGGATAGTAAAGCTTACTAATGACTGTATTACAACGAAAATGTATCAAACTGGTTGATGTATTAATGTGAAGATTACTGAATTGTGATACAACGTTATAGAGAGTCATTAAAACCACATTACTATTAACTTGGGCTGAATTGCGTTTTCAAATATTCTAAAAGCTTTGATTGATTAAATCTAAATTGGTCATTGCCCTTTAATAATAAAATTTCAGATTAATAATAACAAAAAAGGACTAATGGGACTATCATTTTACATTATTAAGCTGTTTGATTATAGAGTCAGAAGTTTAACTTTAATGGTCTTAATTAGTAATTCTTTATATTTATAATGAACATGTGGAAATGTATCCTTTTAAACATTCGGTTAATAGTGCAAAATTTCAACTGTTTTCAATAATAAAAAAAAAATATTACAAGTTAAATGATATGATATCGTAAAGGTTTAGAATCCCACGATTTCTAAAGGAACCTGGTAGTGAAAATTCCGTACTTTCCAACGACCTTTTGGGAAATGAATTTTTCCAGAATATAAATCTTACCTGATCTTGAGCGTGGGTGGCGGCTACCAGAATTCCAAGTAGAATTGCGAGGAGCAAGAGCGGCTCTACGGAAATCTTCTGCTTTGGCTTCATTTTCCCGTTGATTTGTTATGTAGAATTGGCTGTTGTTGTGATTTCAGCTAATCGCTTCCAGTTTTGTTTATTGATTTAATGATTAGAACAGGCGGCAGCACACATACATATATATATATTTATCTATATATATAATCGAACTTTTCAAACTGGTTTGACACTAGAAAAATGCTGTTTATATGCACACATGGAATTAATATGACTATTTATATTCCAGACACTATGTATTCCCGATGCGTTATCAATGAAATTGCCAAACAAAAGAGACAGAGATAGAGAGACAGGGTATTAATTAAGCATTACACTCTGTAAAATTAACAACAATTTATCGTATGCGCGCGCGGCTAAAATCAAAGAAAGGAAATAGGAGAGCGGGGGTAATAAACAAAACGTTTACGCAGAGAGAATAACACGAAAAAAAAGAAGAGACAAGAGCGCAACTACAGGTCGTATGTATGTGTGGGTGTTTTTATTACTTTATAAATTCAATTGTTTATAATTTACAATTTAAGGCGATTCGAAAATAAAATATTTCTATTTTTGCCCATTATAAAACCCAATGTTCTTTTGTTTTTTTGTAATTTCCCTTAAAATCCAATGAATTTTCAACGAAAAAAAACACAACCGCCCACCACTACAACCACACACACACACACACTATTCCTATTCGCTCTCTGTCTCCTCCGACCCTCTCTTTCGCACTCGCACCGCTATGGCGGCTTCTTTATGTGTCTCTTTTCTCTTCTGCTTCTTCTTTTCGTATCTTTCTGCCCGTTGTTTTGCTGCGTTTATTTTCGTTGCATTTATTTTGCTACTCTGCGCACCTTTTCGCTTCGTATTTACAAAAATTGCACTCGCGACTTTATTTGGGGGGTGTACAAATTTCTTTACACTCGAGTGGCAACCAAACACACACGAAATCGCGCTAAAATCCGGACGTACCCGTGCCTTCCTCGATTCGTAAAAATTTTTCGAATGACTCTGCCAGTGTTACCAAATGCTGAAACGACTTTTCTGAACAGCCATGAATTCCCTAAAAAATCCCGAATGACTCGGTAGAGCTGAGGAATCATCGATATATTACTTTTAGCTACGTTGATGTTCAATAATGACTATCAATCTCTTTTAACACCAAGTGAGTCAAGTTATTATAGAAATTGTACTTATATCTCTTATTAATTGTTGTTTTTTTAATTTTCGCGGGCTTTTTTATTTCTAGATAAATGGTTTGAGTCTTCGCTAAATATCGATAAAATGGTTTGGGCCCCAGACTGAATCCTCGGAAGACTCAAACCAATTTTAAGATTCTGTTTGTAACATGCAAATGTTAAGACATAGCGTTATTCTAACAGCGGCAAAAACCTCTGTTAAAGGTTTAAGTTATTATGTAAATGTACGACTGTATAAATATTTATTATTTATTATTACATTTTCACTATCATAAATCAAGTTGGTTTAAGTTTGTGATGTTATATATTTGAACTAGTAATTTAATACGTTACAAATTTTAAGTTACAAATTTTGAGTTATAAATTTAAAAAAATTTAAAATTAATTCAGCTTTAAGTTTAAAGTTTCCTATTGGCTGGAATTGCTTGAAACAAAGTGATGGTATATAAATTAAATATTAATTTGACCGCTCTTCTGGCTCATTGGATCCATCTGTAAAGATTTCAATCTGCTTCGCTGCGTCTAAAATAGTGTTGGTTTTGCAGTTGTTAGATACTTTTTTCTGAGGTCGGATGAAGAGGTCAAGTCCAGCGAACGGAGCTTCAATGATCAGGTAGAGTACAAAGGCCAGCAATGTTGAAATACCGATATCTGACCAGAATCTAAGCATCTATAGAAAAGAATTCAACATACAAAAAGAATCGTTAGGCGTTAGATAAAAGTTAACCCACCATTTGGTAATCCGATAAGTACAAGTTGGTTCTAGTGATTCGTGTGTTTATCTCCTGGACGAAAACATGCCAAATGTAGACCGAATACGAGAGTCTCGAGAGAGGTTGCCACAGTGGAGAGGATAGAAAACTGTTGGCCAGACCTCCGTAACCCTGCATACAGGCGAAAATCACCCAGCAAATGGACAATGACCATCCCAACCGAGTGAGGGTGTAGTAAGAAGCGTCTTCTAGGCTGGAAAGAGCAGGGGAAGTCCACTCAGCCGCCGGATAGAGGGCGAATATGGAGGTGAACAACATGGCCAGGCAAAGGATCCATCCCGACCACACGGCTATCCAGTTTAGACGGAACTTTCTTCCCTGATTCAGATACAGAAAGTATCCAAACATAAAGCCAATCAGCCAAGGGGTGCAATGGTAGTGCGTGTAAAAGTACAACTTTTGCGTTTCTTCATTACTGTTCCTGAAGTTGAAATAAAGTTTAATCTTTTTTAAATCCCAATATTAGCGAAAACTTACTTTAACAACATTGCGTAGTGGTTGACCATCATGGATCCAAAAAGTAAGCCTGCGAATAGGACTATTAGAACTATTATACCGGCAGCTGCCTTCTTGCCCCATTTATGGAGCGAGATCAGCAGGATAGGAGAGATGAGGAATAGCTGCATGTCCACCGACAAATACCACGTATGACCAAGGCACTGGAATGATAAAAACAACATCATGATTCATAGGTACCTATCTGTAATAAATGTAAACTTACTCCATCATCAAAATAGTTATTCACGAACAACAACGTGCGATACCATCCATTCTCACAGTTCTGTTTGCCACTGAATCCGTCCTTAAAAAGTGGTCCATTTGCCACGACACCCATGAGGTTCATATAGACGAGAATTGCCATGGCCACAATGGGAACAATGCGAATCAGGCGGTGTAGATACATTAATGGTACGTTTAGCTTTCCCTTGGCTCTATAAAGAGATTACAAATTCATAATTTTTTCTAGAAATAAAAGTTTAAATCGTACTTATCCATTGATCGCAGCGTAATTAAGGCCACAAGTAAACCACCAATAACGAAAAACGAATCCACCGAGAAAAAGCCGTGCACAAAAAAGCTGGTAAATGGATACTCTGCCCACTAAAAGAGAATCGCTATACTTTTTAGTCCACCAAAGCAAAAATATTTACTTACCGGAATGAAGTGTAAAAAGTTGATGTATACTGATGATAAATATTGATGTCCATGACAGTAAACCACCCAAAAGAGGGACATGCACCGAATGCCATGAAGGCAGTCGATTACATTCGGGTTGGATTTAGTCTCCACGATGCGAAAAATTGCACGGGAGTTGACTCTGGCCGAAAAGACCTTTACAATCGCTGGAAGTTTATCTGAAAATGGGTGTTATGAAGGAATTTCAATTATCTCCTTTAACTCACCCTGATCCTGGCACAAAAAATAGTCGTAAAGCGTAAAGATAGCTACGAAAGAGCCCATCAGTGATAAGAAGATTCTGTAATAAGAAAGGTTAAGTTATCTTCTTTGATATATGTAAGTATAATTGCACTCACATGGTAAAATAGGTTAATCCATCCCACGGTTCGCTTTCGTTTGTCTGGCAACTACTTTCTTTGATAGTCATGATTGTACTAGGTATACTATAATTTAGTATTCTCTGACTCATCTGACTCAAAAACTTGTTCATATGAATGGCTGAACAGGAGTCCGGAAAGCAGGTTGCAGTTTTAATTTTCCAATAGGCTGTTAAAGCATTTTCAATACCAATAATATTACTGGGTCTAGTCTCTAGAAAGCAGTACTTTCCGCGGATGCTGTTCTTTTTGATATTGAGGCACTCGTCATAGTTTCCCAAACTGTATTGGTTGCCAGTCAGTATGCCAGGAGGAATAGAACCCCACGAGTCGATCACTGATAGGATATGGATAATTTTCATACATAATTTAATTGTTTTTTATTTATCACTCACTTTTTAGGGCCCAATATTCACCGGAACTAAGTGCCGATACTAGTTGAGTCAAATGCTTGAGACACAGAAGGTCCTGCTGAGTTGGCAATTTGGGGTTTATAAGATCTAGATCCTTCAATGTAACATTATGAAAGTATTCGGCAAATGCATTCCCTAAAGGTTCAAGACTCTTAAGACTTTGGAATCCCGACAGGACATCATCGTCCTTTGGCTGTGCGGCGCTGATAAAAACTAGCCCACTCAGGAGAATAGTTCTCAATATATTAACCATTGTTAATAACTAACGTTTATGACTGCTTTTGCCCAAAACCACGGCGCTTTATATGCTAATTATCAAGCTTCAAGCTGATAACATGGGACATGTAAAGGGGTTTTAACATTAAATTCGACGAATACTTCCGATAGTGTGTAATCTTTCGAGTTTCAATTCTACTGACAACCACTTTAATGATTAATAAACTGTTTTGTGATTTCGGTAGCTTCTTTAGAAATCGTTTTTAAATAAGCGATAAGATGAGGATAATCACGAAATTTGGAATGGTTTGCAGACGATTCGGCCGCGTTCAGTTGAACCCTCTTATCAACGATCAGTACTCAACAGTTACTAAGTGTTTTTTCAAAGACAATTATATATAGTCATCAACAAATATTTTAATTGGAGGTCGAATTCAGCAAATAACTTCTGGGCTATATGAAAAAACTTTAATAAATTAAATTGCTAAGGAAACATTACCATAAAATCTTTAGGTGGTGACAATAAATATTAAATTAAATTAATATTAAGTTATGTATATGATATAATAAAGATAAATAAAGATATACCAAAATTATCTTTTTTGGCGGAATTGTCTACTTTAACATCTGTTAACTACTAACAGTAACAGAGACTTTGACGCCTTGTTAACAGTTCTGTCCTCTAACAGCAATGGTAATTATGAACTAACAGTACGTTAAAAAATACCGCAACTTAAAGTGTTGGTCAACTCAAGTTTCCGCTACTTTCGAACACTGATTCTGTGTCTATTTTTAGGCAGTTTCGTACAATGTTTTTTGTCTCGGGGTTTTTGTTAATAAATTAGCCAGAAAAAACAAAGTAAATAAGGTAATTGCAGGTGCTTAAAATTGCCAATTAAAAGGGGATAAGGTGTTGCTTTTCCTTCCAGCCTATTATGTTTGTACTTGAAGGGTGAAAAAGATATGAATCATAAGGTTTACTTTTTTCTCACTTCTTTTTGTGTTTGCACTTTTCTTTTGCGTTTCTAGTGAAAATGCAACGAAATAAACCTGGTTTTTGGTTTTCATTTTAGGTTCTCTGCTGATTTGGTGGCCATGGATTTGGTGGACATTGATCAGGTTTTGGATAATCTGGAATTGCGCATTGCCGCCGATGAGCAGCTGACCAGAAATGCAGCAGCAGCAGCAGCCGCGATATCCGCAAATCCTGGTCGATTTCTGGGCGATGGAGCAAGTGCATCCAACAACAGTGGAGTGGCAGTGGGAGCAGGAGCAGGGGTATCAGGAGCCGCAGGCTCTGGAAAAATCTTTGTGGGCGTCTCCCAGGTCTTCAACAGCCTGGATGACTACAGGGAGAATGTGAAATCCCTGGAGGTGGATGCCCAATTGCCCAGCTACGATTGGCAAACGGAGGCGGATCACGAGGATGACATCCAGAAATTCAGCGAGCAGGCGGCCAAAAACAATGGGCAGGCTATAGTGTCCTCCTCCGAATCCCTGACCACTTCGTCCTGTTCCACCTTCTCATCGGGTCCCTCGCCCGTCAGCAATGGCAGTCACTCCGACGAGCTAACAACGCCCCCGGAAAGCGAAAAACCAAGTGAAGTACAGGTGGTGCCCAAGGAAGAGGATCAACAGCCGGAACAGGTTATTGATCTGGAGCAGATTGAGGGTCAGGCGGTTCCACCAGAGCTCAAGCAATCCAAGGAAAATTTGGAGGAGTTGGCCGTGGGATTGTCCTCCATTTCCATCACAGCATCCGTCACAGAATCGCAGTCCTTGTTGCCGGAAGAGGTCACCGCATCCTCCGTACTGGGACAGGTGCTACAGGAGCTCTCGGAGGAATCGTCGCCCAGTAGAGAACCCGAAACGGAAATGACCAATGGCATAGAGGTCGAGCACCCAGAACCCATTGTAGTGAGTATTATTATGTTATATTTTCTGTGAAACAAGACTAAACTGATTTACTTGTATTTTTACTAAGAAATTGATATCAACTTCAAAAACAGTTCAAATATCATATCAATACCATTTGATATGTGTCAATAAAAATTTGTAAAAGATAATAGGCTTGCCCCTAAAGCACTTACCTTTTTTAAGAAAACCCCAAGGTTTTGTTTTCTATATTTTATCAGCTTAGTATATAAGTGCAGATTTAATATTGTATCAACAAACTTAAATGGCTTAAATTATAATGCCTTCTTATTATGTATATTATTTTAAAAGTACATAAATAAGACGTATTGCTACATAATTTCCCATTATTTTGAGCTTATCAATCCCCTATCGGTGCGTCATTTATTTTTTGTTGAGTCGCAGTAGCTGAAGTTTCGTTATAAAATATATTTTGTTGGTACTATAACAAAATAATTCTATCTTTTATTTTTTTCTTAATAATCATTTAATAATTTATGTCTTAATTATAAATCTGATTTTTTGAATTCATTGTTGTATGCCTCAGCTGTACTAGCAAACCAACACAAATATTAAAAGCAACTGGACTTAAACTTTTTTGATTAAAAACATTTATATCATTAAAAATGATTAACCATCTGAAACTACTTTCTATTCATCTTCCAGAAAGCAGCTATTCCGGCAATACCGGCCCCAAAAGAGAAGGAGCAACCGCCACAAACAGAAGAAGAGGATGTTGAGGATATACAGGAGCAGCATCCCAGGCGCAGTCAACCCCTCACCTTCTGCTCCACGATGGACGAGATCTCTGACACCGAATTGGACAGCATGCTGCAAGAGATGGACGCGGATGACAACCAGGAGGGAGATCAGGAAATGCCTGAGGACGAGAAATCCCCCTCCGCCTCACCAGTGACCGAGGAGGAGTCAGTGCGGATTTTATCCGACGACCAGGAGACAACCTCCAACGACCAGATGAACGTAGACAACTTTTCACAGGCCTCCACCGTGGAGTTTGCCGATCTGAAGCCACAGGAGTCCACACCAGTCACCGCAATGGGCGAAGATATTGCATCCAGTTTCAGCAGCACGGAGTCTGATTCACTTTCAGGCAGGAAGCTGGATGGCGAGGAGGAACGGGAGGCTGACAGAGAGCCGGAGGATGCCAGCCTGGCCACTGATGCGCTGGAAACCCAAGAGCAGCGTCCCCAGCGACCACAAACCTTGGATTTGAATGGTTGCCAGACGGGAAATTCAACTCCAGGCCAAGATGAAACACCTGAAATCCAACAGGGGCAGTCCCAGCCCGCCGAAGTCATGGAAGGAGCAGAAGGAGTTGGTGTAGTACCCGGCGAGGATGAGGAGGAAAGCCCCATCTACGAGGCCGTGGGCTACAGCGATCCGCATGCCAACCTTGGAAAGGTGCCACCCATTTGGGTGCCGGACAACATGGCCGGGCAGTGTATGCAATGTCAGCAAAAGTTCACCATGATCAAGAGGCGACACCATTGTCGCGCTTGCGGAAAGGTCTTGTGCTCTGTTTGCTGCTCCCAGCGTTTCCGGCTGGAGTTCGCCAACGAACCGGAGTCAAGGGTCTGCGTGCAATGTTATATGATTCTCTCGGAGAGGCAGGCCAACGGATCCAGTTCAGAGTCAGCTCCTGGTTCAGCTTTGCCCCCCACTCCCATGCGTTCGCCGAATCCCAACAACCCTATGGAATACTGCTCCACAATACCACCGCATCGTCAGGTGGCCTCTTCGCCGGGAGCTCCGCCGCCCAGCGTTATTGTGCCCGTGGGTGTGCTGAAGAAAACCGATGGCAGCTCCTCAAACTCCTCCAGTTCGGAAGGCCAGAAGGGCGTCAGGAAGCGGAAGAGTGTTATGTTTAGTGATGGCATTGCACCGGGCAGCGAACTGGCCAGCACCATGGAGCAGCAGTGGGGCGAGGCCAAGCAGGCGAGGCGAGGACTCTCCAGGAGCGGTTCGGGAGCTGGTCAGAAACCGCCCACGCCAGCGACGGAGGAGCCACCGCGCACCATGGACACAAGCTCTACTTTGGGCCTTGTGGCACAGCTTTTCCGCGGCTCCATTCCCCCAAGTGCAGCGGCTGCAACGTTGGCAGCCACCGAATCACCAAGCGGTATGCATTTCATTTAGTCCCACTAAAGTCCATGTGATGCAATCCTTTTTCATCCCCCAGCTGGTCGCTCCTCATCCCAATCCCAGGCTCAGACCTCGCCGCGCCGCAAAGCGGAGCCAGCGCGCAATCGCAAACTGCCGCCGAACGGAGACGCCCAAGGCTGCTATCTGCCCGCCGAGGAGAACGGCCTGCCCCCCATTTGTATAACTAGCAAAGAGGGCGGTGAGGTTGACTACAAAGTGGTGCGCAACGACGGATCGCTCCTCGACCGATTGCAAAATGAAACGCTCAAGTTTATCATAAAAAACAACTTCTTTGTGCTGGTCAAGATTGTAAACAGTGAGTATTTGTAACTCTAAATTAATTGTAAACCTTCTAAATCGAATTTTCTTAATCAACCAGTGAGTTGCTGTATGAATCGTTGGGTGCTGAACTTCACCACATCCGGACTACATCACATGGGCAGCGATGAGTTGATCATTCTGTTGGAGATTAAGGAGCCCAAGCAGGGAGAACCTGTGAATGGGGAAGTTGCTCTCCCAAAGGATGTGTTCCAGCATCTGTATGAGATATATTTGGAGGCAGAGCATGCCCGGTCCAGCACCCATGAAATGGCTTTTACCAGTCCGCGTAGCGCCAATTTCCTGGGTTCCCGGGAACACGGAGGATTTATTTTCATCCGGCCGACTTACCAGTGTCTGCAGGGCGTAATTGTGCCGGATAATCCCTACCTGGTTGGCGTGCTCATACATCGCCACGAGGTACCCTGGGCTAAGGTATTACCACTGCGATTAATCCTCCGCTTGGGCGCCCAATATCGCTACTACCCCTGTCCACTGATCTCGGTGCGTGGCAGGGAATCTGTGTATGGAGAAATAGCTCAAACTATCATCAATTTCCTGGTGGATTTCCGCAATTACTCGTACTCTCTACCAGCTATACGTGGATTATATATCCATATGGAGGATAGGCAGACGACGGTG